GTGAATCTTTTATCTTACCCTGAACCACTGCTTCTACATAACTCAAAGGAATTAATAATTTCCTCTCTTGCAGGACAATAAGGGGTAAAGAGCAGGAGCAGATATAAGAAAGAATATGACAAATGATTGTAAATGAAAAGAAAATACAATAAGCACTGCATAAGGTTTTGAATCTATGTAGCTAGGTTGTTCTGAAAAACCTCCAGGGAAAGACATGCTTCTAGAAGGCATACCAGGATGGATGGCAAGTTACCTAGAGCCAGTTATCTTAAGAAGAAGGTAGAGCCTGCTGCACAACTCCACCAGGCATGGTCCTTCAWGGGAACATTGCCTTGGAGCTATGAGTGCTCATGTCATCTCCTTATGGATGCTGCCATCGACGTACTCAGAATGAAGGATTAATGATTTTTCTCCTTGGGGAACTTCAATTGTCCATATCAGCAGGATAACAAATTTAGGCTTTTTTAAATATCCTTTTTCAAATGTACATTGTCTGTCTTGAAAACATAGACTTATAGTGAGGGACTCTCATAAATACATCTATTTATGAGAGTCCTTGTCTCTCATAAATAGATGTATTCAATTTTTACATTTGTCAGACACTGCAGGTAAGCAGCAGATGTACATACTTAGGCCTGTGAGAATAATAAGAGACATTGTGACTCATATTTTTTTTTAAATTTGACACTCAGATTTAGTTAGAACAGTAACTGCTTGAGATTTTGCTGTAAATTCCAAGACACTAAGGCTGGCTCTGTGGTTTTCTTTATCTAAAACTTTTTGGGTTTTAACTCTACCCTCATCAAGGATCAACTTCTCCCCAAAGACTCTGATTAGAAATTTGAGGAAAAGATGGAAATGAAAATAAGCTTTCTAAAGTGTGAGTTCATAAAAAACATTGGTGATTTGAAAATTAATCTCAGTTCTAATCTATTGAAATAGAATCATTCTAGTTAAATCATTCTATATTATCTGAAATATTTTCCTCCATGATAATCCACTCAAAACAATTCTGGTGGTTCAATCAGTGGCCCATATTTTATAAGTCTTTGCCAAGAAAATMTTTCCAGAAACCACTTCTCCTATTTATGAAAGGAGAACGGCAGCAGGTACAGTAAGGAAGGACATGCTATTAATTCAGCTACATCATGTAAGTGATCATTAATTGTGTGAAAAATAAGAAGGAAAAGAAAGTATACAATGTCTTATCCTAGTATTTGGAAGTAAGGTTAATCCAAGTTTAAGCCATTAAGTGACCACAATTGGTATAATTGTGTCTCACTGAGAAAGTCTGATACAGATTAGAAAACTCATTGACCATCTCACCTGACTATGAAGTTAACTATTAAAAATTGGTTAAAACTTGAGAATCAAATATTAGAAAATTTCAGCACACCTTGTTAATGCTTCAAAATTCCTTCCCTACACATATAAACCTTAATAGAGAATTCTATAATACTGCTCTSTCCTCTGTGGATTACATTTATATCGAGGTGTTAGAAACCAAAACAGTCCTATTAATAGAATAGTAGGTATCATTCACTAAGAAGAAATGGGAAGTTTATAATAAACCCATAGTGAACTGTATGAGCAACTTGCTACATTATACCAAATTTAAATATTAAATGTAATGATAAATTCACATGATATGAAAAATGTAAAATAAAAGTAAATGCTTTAGCTTCCTTTTACTAAGGTACTTGACTACAAAATTGGAAAGCATAATACATAATAATTATGTATTATGTATTATCCATAGTCTACAGATTTTTCAAAATGTCATTTTGAATTTATAATAATTTATGGATCACACAGGACTTCTCTAAAATAGCATGTTTAAACATGGAATAAAGATACCAAGGGCATGCCACGTGTTTAAAGCCAACTATCCTGGAAGGCAGATATGGATCCTATTTTTGTCTTTTCAATTTTCAAAATTTATTTATTTATTGGAGTGAGGYGGTATTGGGAATTGAACTCAGAGACACTTGGCCACTGAGCCACATCCCCAGCCCTATTTTGTATTTCATTTAGAAACAGGGTCTCACTGAGTTGCTAAGCACCTTGTTTTTGCTGAGACTGACTTTGAACTTGTGTGATCAGCCTCAGCCTCCTGAGCTGCTGGGATTATAGGCTATTTTATCTTTTTAGTCCACTGCTAAATGCTAGAATGCAAGATAACAGGTCACAATAATCCAAATCTTTATCCCAGCCAATTATCTTCTAAAAAGAAGAAACATCCATCTCAAGCATACACAGATAGAACTTTTAGGATGCTCCTCCCACACATATTTGAAAATGTGTCCGTCTGTTCTCAATTKCCATAAATCTAAAGCCTTTGAATACATTATCTGTTCATCTTTTATTTGATATAAAATAATCTAGTAGTTCACTACTGCAGAGATTTTTATCCCCTAGGTGACATTTGAAAAGGTCAGGGGACAAATTTGATTGTTATGACCTTGGGTAGAGGTGCAATCAGTATCTAGTAGAAGCCAGGGATATGGCTAAACATCCTATAGTGGACAGGCAAGGCCTTACGACAAGGAATTATCAGGGCCAGAATATCAATCACACCAAGATTGAGTTAAATGTGCAGTCAGTGTTGACCTCACCTGCCTTACAATAGAAATGTCTCTTTGTGAAAGAGATGTACTCACTCTGACCTTCTCAGGATGAGGGATTCCAACTAATAGGCTTCAAAAATACACTGGAGCACTTCACACAGGTGCTTGAGTGAACATTTCCCTCTACATGATATCATGGCATTTGACAAATGTGAAATCATCTCCACTTGTCTRAGTATAAAATATAGATCTAGGAAATGAGGGCTTTACTGTTCTAAAGGTCATGAAGGCCTTGATCATCTCTTTGAATAAGAAAAAAAAATTACAGATGCTTTGCAGCAACCATAAGCCTAACAGAACAGTCAAAAGTCGTACCTTTCAGGTTTTATCTCTTTCACATTTAAATAGTTCTGAAAGCAAAAGTGAGAGGAATTAGGCTTCAGCTGATAACGATGTCATTTTAAGACTTGTGCCAATACTAGGACCCTTAGAACCATAATCACGTGGCTTATTTTAGCTTACATTTCAAACTCATGGTAAGAATAGGTATTAAGCATTTGGTAACTGTTTGGGGAATTTTAAAGGTTATTAAGTTCTGAATAACAGAGTCTCTCATGTTTTCCCACCAAGCTTTTCCCAGCAGTTGAATATATCTGGATCTTATTCTGGTTTTTCATTCTTTTTTTAGCTTCCTGAAATGACTCATGTTCAATCACGACGACCCTGGATGATGTTTCTCCTGCAGAACGTTGGATTGATCTTAGGTTGGCTTTCTCTCTTACTCTTGGCTATATATGAACAAAACATTAAAATATAAATTAAGATTCTCAAAATCCTTCAAAAATGAAGTCACATGGTCTCATTTCATTTCTTTTCTTGTATTCTATAGTGATGAGTAAATTATGCATTTCTTATCTCAAGTGAAGACTGTGCCTTGGAGTTCATTAACCTGCTAATTTTTAAATGCAATTTTGGTTTTGGAAATATCTAAAGGTCAGACTGTCACCATTGAAATTTTCATTTTTCTTTCCAACATTGTGATGGATCTTATTAGTTTTTTTTTTTTTTAGCCATTAGTAAACTCAATTAATTCTAGTAAACTTAAAAAAATATTGTTTCCCTGAGAAAGAATATTTGCTCATAGTGTTTGAAGTAGACAGATGCCTGTTGGGATAAAATCAACTGTGACCTTTCTGATGTCAGCTATACACTTTTTTTCCTGTGATATTTTTAAATCAAAAGCAAACTAAATAACAAAGAAACATAATAAAGTCTAGTTTTAACATGGTGATTTGTATGACCTTCTATTATTGGATGTCAGATGTGAAGTCCCCCCTTACCGCGTTGACATGGTATAGTTCACCTGGAGGYATAACTCACTGGCTAAAGAGTGCTCATGAACTTGAGAAACCCAAAGGATAATATATATGTCAGCATTCTTCTTCTAAAGTCACCAAAGGAAATCTGCTCCAGGCTGGTAGAACTGGAAACCAAAGATGAAGTTCGAACATTTTTCAAATAACAAAGGTTGATTCCAGGCAATAGATTAATGCCTAAATGCTCACAGATTGTGTAATGGAGAATATTTATGGAAATAATCTTCCTGACAAGTGAGATATGTTTTATATTCGTTCTGAGGAAACACAGAATCCTAAACAGGATTGCAGTAGGTAAGCTTATGAAATGAATAAGCAACATTACTGATAACCTAGAAAAATTATTAAAATAGAAAATAACCCTGGATTTAGTCATGTTTTTTCTTGGAACATGAATGCCTAATATTTTTCCTGTTTTTTTTTTAAGTATTATCTTGACAAGGGAAAAAAAGCCTGTTTTACTGCCAAAATGACTCATGGTACTCAGTCATATGTCTTTCCTACCTCTTACTCACCAATGAGTAGATATTCTTTGCCATGCCCCCCCCACCCAAACACAATCTTTTTCAACCACTTTTCTTTGATTTCAAAAGGAAGTAGGCTTCTTCTCTAGTTGTGTTTAGAGTTTGCTTTTAAAGAAGCATCATTGAATACTGCAATAGTTCTCAAATTTGGATGCATAGCAGGATCAACTGGAAGACTCCTCGGTGGGAAACAGATGACTGGCTTCATTCATCCTTGGAGTTTCTGATGCTGTAGGTCTGGAGTGGAGCCTGAGAACTTGATTTTGAACAACTTCTGGGTGGTGCTGATGCCACAAGATAGAGTATGAGTCTGAGCACCACTGGTATGACGGGAATCAGGCAGGCTTGGTTTCAAGAAAGAACAGGTACACACTCTGCTGCTCAGAAGCTATGTGCTTTTTTTTTTTTTAGAGAGAGAGAGAATTTTTAATATTTATATTTTAGTTCTGGATGAACACAACATCTTTGTTGGTATRTGGTGCTGAGGATSGAAACCGGGCMGCACGCATGCCAGGCGAGCGCGCTACCGCTTGAGCCACATCCCCAGCCCAGCTATGTGCTTTTGAGTAAGGAAATTAACACTTCTGAAAACCTCATGCTAGACATGAGTTCCTGAAATTCGCTTCTCTTCATCCCTTTGCCTCTGAGCATCAGATCAGTSCTGGGAGTTGCTGGGTGGGGAGTCCACAGACAGTACTTTGAGTCACATTTACCCTGAAAGGTAAGCAGCTTTGACAGGTAGAGTTTTGCCCTTCTTTTGTTAAGAGGCTACATTGTAGCTGAATAGATACATACCCTGGTACAGGTCAACACAATGTGGCAGTATCACGATTCATTCCTGGTGCCATCTGTTTGGGTTTCTATGCCCAGGTTCTGATTTTGACATGAAGTCTTCATTTATACCCACTTAATTAGAACAGCTATGATGGATGTTTTTTTTTTCCAGTTCAAGTTTAGAGTAGTCTGGGACTGGCTAATAAAATTTTTAGAATGAGCTGCTCCCTCTATAACCTTTAAGTTAGAATTTGACACTGGTGAGGCGAGGAAATTGAAGGGAGCCAACTGTCAKAAGGGATATATAGGTTAGAGAGTCATACTCAGTATCCTGTAACCTTATCACCAGTGTTCCCTGATCATCAGTAGAGACCTGGTCACTCTGCAGTAAACCTAAGGAACATGTGACATAGTGGCTTCTAAGGGTGGCTTTCTAGCATCCCCATTTCTCTTCTTGAACTTAATGCTGTTTTTTTTTCTAATACTGAGTTCCAGACAGCAAACCACAACCTAAGATAAAATTGCTTGAAAATCTCTATTCCTCAAAATTGGGTGGTTATGATAAAAATATGATGCCCACTGTGTACCTTTTTAAATATGAACAGAGTCCAAATCTGAGATGGTGAAGATTGTGATTCCTTTTGGCAATATAAGTTATGTGTCACCCATTGATCTTTGAGGTAGATGGCATTTTCCTTGAAACCAGATTTTTCAATAATGTAACACRGTTTCTATTTCCTAGACCTAAATTTAGGATTCCACTATATTTTTACTTGGTGATTGATTTATTTTTTCATCACTGAACTAGAAATGCTCCTGGAGAAAAATCAAAGAGCAAATCATGCAGAAATCTTATTTGAACATCCATCATCCACTGACAGGGCCATCTTTAGGAGAGGGAAATTGGCCCATGTTCTGTGATGCAGAGCAGAGTCTAAAAAAAAAAAAAAAAATCTTACCACTACTGTATGCTGATTAGCACCAGAGTCTTCCATGACTATCCCCAAGCATTGTGGCCATTCTGGCCCTCACCCCCTTCAGAACCAGATTTAYAGGTGAGACTTTGCCTGCCCTTCAGAGACCCCCTTCTCTGGATTCTGCACATTTACAACTCCTTTTGCATTTCTAAATGGAAAGAAGTGGGAGGGTCACTCAATCACTTGGATAGGCTGGACTAATCATTTGACTTCTTATGTGGTCATTAAGAATTCAGGCTCTAGGGCTGGGGATGTGGCTCAAGAGGTAGCACACTCGCCTGGCATGCTCGGGGCGCTGGGTTCTATCCTTAGCACCACATAAAAATAAAATAAAGATGTTGGGTCCATTGAAAACTAAAAAATAAATATTAAAAAAATTATCTCTCTCTCTCTCTCTCTCTCTCTCTCTCTCTCTCTCTCTCTTAAAAAAAAAAAAGAATTCAGGCTCTAAATGGACATCCAGGTTCAAAGCCCCAGGTGTACTTTTGGGAATAACACATTTACTTTCCACAAATTAGGGCTAAGAAGAGACCCTATGTAATAGGGTTGTGGTGACATCAATATGGGACTACCCATGAAGCACTTAACACAGTACCTGGAAAATACTAATGGCTCAATAAGTACTAAACCACCCCACCACCACCATCATCATCATCATCACTATAGTAGCTCCTGTTCCCTTCTTTCAATATAGTTTCACAGTTTACCCTCCCCAGTGTTGTTCCTTTGGTCAAGAAAATGTCTTTTCTTGATGGAGAATGGAGGTCAAACCTTTTTTTTATGTTTCCATAATCTTCTATAAGCCCCCACATCAGCTTCTTCCATCCCTTTGAAGAAGCTGTCTACACCATTTTCACCTTGACTCACTTTCAGAACAGGAGACATGGGCCCCCTCTGATTTGCTGCACTCTCTCCCCCCTCCCCAGGCAGGCTTTGTCTTTGTGGCACAATGCAACACGGTGTGAGCCCCTCTCTCTTTTTTTTTATTTTATTATTTTTTTTTATTGTTGGTTGTTCAAAACATTACATAGTTCTTGACATATCATATTTCACATTTGATTCAAGTGGGTTATGAACTCCCATTTTACCCCGTATACAGCTTGCATTTTCTCTTATAGCAAGTGAAAATCTATTGTGTTTCATCCCAGTTACACTTTTGAAGTTGAATAATGGAACCTGACAGAGAGGAACCTTCCTGAGGTCATAGTTATTGTCACAACTCGATTTCATCTCAGGGAAAATAAAATGTAGTTCAACTGATTTCCTCCTGTTACCAATGCACCTGGCTGAGGATATGAAACCGGCCTGGAAAGATTTCAGCACCAGGAGGTGAAATGGCATGTGCCTGCTTGAAGCCTGGATTGTTYAAATAAGGCTGATGTAGCCTGTTCATTGGGGAAGAGCACCAGGACAGAGAGGTTGCATGTGCCCCAAACTAGTGTCCCTCAGCCTGAGGGGATAAGCCCCATGTTGTCATGCACCCCTCAAAATCCAAGTGAAATTTGGGAGAAAATGTGAGATGCTAGGGATGTTCCTCAACCCAGAGTGCTGGCCTCACACACCATTGCTTCTTTGAATGATCTGTGAAACATATTTGCACATTTTTCAGGTTTGTATTCCCACCCCTGCATCCCACTGCCTTCTTGGTTTTCTAATTGTTGATTTTGAGAAATGGTAAAGAAAGTGCTCAGACCACCTCGCCATGGATTTACCACTAATTGTGTCTTCAGAACTGCATTTCCTCCTCTGAGAGAGATTAGGTTTGATGATCCCTTATGATCTCGCTAAGAATTGGCCTGTGGTTCTCTATAAGGATTCTCCCTCCAAAGGAAGTGGTGTTGCTTGTATCCTCTCCTGCATGTCAGGCAGCATATCGCTTAGGGTAGAGTCTATTGCTCTTGTAGAAGTCAGTAGTATAGTATTGCAGTAGCCATGGTTCAAATGGTGTTCTCCCAAAGTTCATCTCAAACCTGAACCTTTGAATGTGATCTTATTTAGAAATAAGGTCATTGCCACTGTAATGAAGTTAGGATGAGGTCATGCTCTATTTAGGTGGTGTCCTAATAAGAAGATCCACCTGCAGAGGGAAGATAGCACGAAGACAGGCAGAGGTGCTGGAGGGCTGTGGCTATAAACCAAGGAATGCCAAGGGTTGTGAGCAACTACCAGAAGCTAGRATGAGGAAAACAGGATCCTTTCCTAGAACCCACAGAGGCCCTGATCGATGCCTCRA